AATAAGTCCGCTTTTCTGACATGACGAGGACACTTCTCCCCATTAAATGCCGGCTGTTTTCGAGACTGTATGCAGCGTGTCAAGCCACCGCTGTTTGGAACGCCCTTTTTGTCGCTTTTCGAGCATGTTCATCTCCGTCACGTCGAGGTGAGCTTCAGCTTCTCTGGCTGCGGTTCGGCCTTCTGCACCACATAACGCGACCGGCCACAATGGGTTTACAGATCTTTGACTTGAAGCGCTCTGGCGTTTTCTTGTCGCAAAGCGCACTCACTGACGCGCTCACTTCTGAGCTCTGACTGCAATCGGACGGAAGTGCCGATCCAAGATACTTGAATGCATTCTGTGCGATTGACTTGAAGGAATTTCATGGTGTGCGATAGATTACGTTGTATTCTTAAATATAATGATGTGATAAGTGCGGTCGTGGGCCGGCCCGTCCCGAAAGCCTGTCACTTGCCTGTCAGCCGGTCACTTGTTAGTTGTTTAGCTTGTTCCGTAAAAGCGAGCAGTTCCTAGTGGCACCTCCCAGAGGATCGGACACTGATCACTAACCGATCACCTTTGGTAGAAAATGCAGCCGGGGCGGGTTCATTCTACATCTACTGACACCTCCTCCCCATCTTAATTGCAACGATATCAACTAAAGCAAATCCACCATCCGAGGATCCGGATAAACAGAGCTTTCCATTTTCCAGAGCCAATTATTTGGCACCGGATGGCCTGAGGAGGCAAAACACTGTCTTGTTCATAAGTTGTAAATCAAATGCACAGTAAACAACGTACGAACTGATTTACATTCAAAACGCTCCTAACAATCTGAGTGGAAGTAGAACACAAGAGGCAATGCCGGGAATTTCGTTTTTCAGGCTTCATGGGAATCATGCCTTCAGATAATCACAACTTCAGGAAACAACGTCAATTAGAAAACGTAACGAATTCGCAGGAGAGAGATACCATCGGGTCATCCTTGAGAGGCAGAGTCGGCTGAGGATCAGATTTGACAGATTTTGAAGGCAGAATGGAGGTCAGTGTAAGATAGGACGCTCGAGGATGTTTGTCTCATTACAAAAGGCCACTTGGATCTGGGGTTAGACATTCAAAAAGGCAACTTTAAGAGAGCCAAAGAAGAGCCAAGAGTTAAGAAAGCCACTGGCACTAGACACA